CACCACTTTGGAGCCCCAGCCTGGGAGGGAGGCAGGGGTGTCCTGGCCCAAAAGTGGGAATAGTTTGGTCGGGAAGTGAAACACGGAGGTTTTGGAAACTCCTGGGAACAGGCAGAGATGTTTGGGGAGGAACCAGGGATGCTCCGTGCAGCCTCCCATGGGGCAGGGCTGGCTCTGCCCGGGTCTGGCTGCTCCGGGGACAGCAGGATGGCCCCACTGCCTCCTCCTGGAAAAAGCACATTTAGAAGGGAAAAAAGAGGCAAATTTAAAGGGGAAAGGGGAAAGGGAAAGGGAAATAGAAGGGAAAGGGGAAGGGAAAGGAAAAGGGGGAAGGGGGAAGCGGAAGGGAAAGGGGAAAGAAGAATGGGAGCTCCGAGGTGAACCCCAGCCTCTCCAGGAGCCTTTGAGAGCCCAGAGCTCGTCCCTGCCCGGCAAACACGAGCACAAACACGGTGGAGACACGCCTGAAAGCCAGAGCCTTTTTTCATTTCCCCTGCATCCCTGATCCCAGCCTTAATCCCTGCTCTGAATCCTGTCAGCCCGGCTGTTCTAGCACTGACATTGCTGCAGGCATCCTCCGCGCTGCCTTCCCTCAGATCTGCCTCCTCCTGGGACACCGAAAGAGGACTCGGAGATTTCTGCCCTGCTCGAGGATTCAGTCCGTGCCCTCCAGAGCAGCGCGGGGGTCCCGGGGGGCCCGGGCAGCGGGGACGGGGCTGTGGGGCCAGGGATGCTCCGGGATCGGGAGTGGGAGGTGGGGGATGAGGGGTCCGGCCAGCCCAGGGGGCAGGAAAAACATGGGATGGGCAGGGAGAGGGGAAAGGGAAGGGAGGAGGGAAGGGGAAAGGGAAAGGGGAAAGGGAAAAGAGGAAGGGGAAAGGAAAAGGGAAAAGAGGAAGGGGAAAGGAAATGGGAAAAGGGAAAGGGGAAATGGGAAGAGAAGAGGGAAGAGGAAAGGGAAAAGGGAAAGGGGAAAGAGAAAAGGGGAAAGGAAAAGGGAAAAAGGGAAAAGGAAAATGGGAAGTGTCGTGGTTTGACACGGAAAGAGAACAAGGAAAGGGGAAGTGGAAAAGGGAAAGGGGAAAGAGGAAAGGGAAAGGGGAAAGGAAAAGGGAAAAGGGGAAAGATGAAAGTGAAAAGGGAAAGGGGGAAAGAGGAAAGGGGAAAGGGAAAAGGGGAAAGGGGAAAGGGGAAAGGGAAAAGGGAAAAGGGGAAAGGGGAAAGGGGAAAGGGGAAAGGGAAAAGGGGAAAGGGGAAAGGAGAAAGGAGAAAGGGAAAAGGGAAAGGGAAAAGGGAAAGGGAAAGGGGAAAGAGGAAAGAGAAAAGGAAAGGGGAAATGGAAAAGGGAAATGGGAAAGAGAAAAGGGAAAGGGGGAAGTGGGAAAGGGAAAAGGGAGCTGCTGCCTGTGCTGGCACTGGTGCCCAGGGGGCAAACCCGTCCCCCCGGGGCTCTGTGTTGCCAAATTCGCTGTCAGGTCCTTACGGTGAAGAGGCACCGGAGCTCTTTCCCGGCCCAGCACGGTCGATGGGAGGCTGGAACGCCCCGTGGCACACCCAGCAGTGGCCGGGGGCTGCCGGGGGTCTGCTGGCCCTGCCCTTGCCCACACAGGTGCCCAGCCTGGTGTGAGCGAGTCCCCGGCCCGGCCTGGCTGGGGACGAACCGCAGGGGGACAAAGGGGTGGCCCTGGGGGTGTCCCCTGGGTGCGTGCCACCCCCGGTGATGGAGCCTGGCTGAGCTCACCCTGCCCTGTCTCCCCGAGATGAGGAAGGAAAGGGGAAGAACCCAGAGGTGAATCCCCATCCCGTCCCAGCGCTGGGAACGCTGCGGGGTTTCAGCACCTCCAGAGCCATGGTGGCCCCAAAGGCCGGATCCAAACGCCTCCAGCCCCGGGGCTGCTCCGTGGCGGCGAGTCCCGGGCTCCCTGTTGAGGCAGGTTTCCTCCGTAGAACCCAGGCAAGCCCAGCTGCAGCTCTCCAGCAGCGTTCCCTCGCTCGCCGCTCCCACCCCGAGCCCTTGCCCGCTGTGCCGCCGCAGAACTGGCAGGCTGAGAGCACGGCCGGCAGCTCCCGGGGTGGTACCCCCCGCCAAAACACCCCCAGCTCCACCCCTGAGATGCCAGAGAAGCATTGGGACCTTCAAGCTGGGGGGGAAAAAAGGTTTTGAGGTCCCGGGGAGGATTTGTCCCCCTCCTTCCCCCAGCCAGGACGCCCCAGCAGTGCCACCCTCGCTCCTCGCTGCAGGAGGTGGCACAAACCTCGTCCCCTGGTTTATGTGGGCACTGAGCGGGGTTTTATTCTCTGCACGGGGACTTTACTGGCAGATATTTGGATTTTACGAGCCTGAGTCCGTGGCTTTATGGCAGGAAAGGTGGGGATGTTAATGAACTCCTTCAGAAACAGGAACAAGAGCGGAGAGACGTTTTCAATGGGCCTTTAACAAATAACAAAGGACCCATCCATTAAAATGTTGTAAGCAATAAAAAATCTCAGTGTATGTTGTTGAAAATACATAGTCCCTGGGAAGTTTAAATCCGTTATTATTTAAAAATCCAACTGTGCCCACTGCCCAGACCAGAATATCCCTGGGGATTCTCCGTGAGGGCCAGGCCCTGAGCATCCCAGCCAAATTCCAGCACTGCTTTTGGGTGATCTTCTGCTTTTTGAACACCCACAGACAGAGGTGAAGTGGGCTCCAGATCCTGCAGTCCCCCAGCAGGAGGAGGGCTGGATTCCTGCGAGAGAGCCTGGAAATATCTTTCTTTTTTGAAATGTTTGTACAGCATGACTTGGCCGATTTACCTCCCAATCTCTCACGCTGGCCTCAAGCCGAGGGCATTAGCGACACTGTGAGCCAGATAAATGAGCCCAACGCTTTTTCTTCTCCCTATCTCCTGCTACAACAACAACAAAAAAAAAAAAAAGGTTTTTTTCTATCCAAGTGCCTCCCATTAACCCAGGCACTGCCGGGAGGGGCTGGAGAGCAGCAGGGGCTGGGTGTTTGCACTGCCAGGAGTGGAAAAAGCCTTGGAAAATCAGGATGCTCCATGGCTGGAGGCCTGGAGACCAGGGATGTGCAGGTAGAAGTGCTGGCAGGACGGAGCTGCTTTGATATTCCCTGCAGTTGCGTCAGATCCAGCTCCCAGCTGATCTGGGATCAGCTGAAATTTGGATTTTAGCAGCCTGTGGGTTTATGGCAGGAAAGGTGGGCACGTCAATGAGCTGCTGCAGGCACAGGAGGGAGCTCGGGCAGGCGTTTCCAACGGGCTTTGGATCAAAAGCAAAGGATCCATCCCCTCCAGAGGGTTTGGATCCCCCCCAGTGCCAGCAGCTCCCCAGGCTGGCACCTGGGTTTGGGGTTTGTGACCCCCTCAGGACGGTGACCCGGGGGACATCCCCAGCACAACCCCCCACGCAGGGAGAGCTGCAGTGAGGACACGGCACAGGCAGCGGGGCTGGGCGGGTTTGGTTCCAGAGGAAAAGGGGTTTTAATGTGAAATAACCCCAATTAACCTGCGAGGAATTCCCAGCCCTCCTTTGGTGGTGCTGGCAGGGAGAGGAGAGGAGAGGAGAGGAGAGGAGAGGAGAGGAGAGGAGAGGAGAGG